TCACCTAAGTCTCTGATGACCCTAACATACAAAACCTATGGCATGCTCTTCAGGCTTTATTTGGAAACTTTGTACCTTTGGCCTCTTGGCAGGGCATTTTCTGGGTTACTCTGCATCTATATTGACCATTTCTACTCTGACTACCCTTTTCCTCTGACCACCCTTTCAGTGATAGTGTTCTACCCTTCGGATTCTGCTCTGCTTCCTTGACACTGTTCTGAGCTTTCCCACCCACTCTTTGGTTCTACGTACTGATACCAGTAAAATGCATCCTTTGCCCCTGGACTCCCTGCCTGCTGGCCATCTCCATGTGAATTACCCATAGAGATCTCAAATTCAACACAAGCAAAAGGGACAGCTCATAATCTTTTCCTTAGAGCAGCTTTCGCCCTTACACTCTCTCTCATCTTTGGTTTATTACCATTCTTCACTCCTTCTCCTTTCGTGAATCTGTCCCTTCCGTCACCTCTACTGTCTACATCCCTTGTGATACACCTGTTTCAGGCCCTTATCGTCTCCTGTTTAAATGACGACAGCCTGCTCACTCTGGCTCTGGTCTTATCCTCAGCTATCCGTCTTTCAGCCAGTTGCCAGGCTAATCTCTCTAAAGCAAAAATGGGACCCTGTCATTTAATAGCTTTGAATAACGGCTGAAACCCTTACCTGGCCTATAAAACCCTCCATCTTCTGCCCTTGCCTCCTCTCCAGATTCATTTATTGGCTCTTCCGGTTTGCCTATCAAATTGTTACTCTGAGTACACTATTTATCATTCCTTTCTGTCTTTGTCCATATTGGCCTGAAATGTGCCCTCTGCTGAATCCCCTCAATCCTATCTGTTCACTGGCTCCTAATTCATTCTTTTTTTTTTTTTTTGAAATGGAGTTTTACTCTTCGCTCTTGTTGCCCAGGCTGGAGTGTAATGGTGCAATCTCGGCTCACTGCAACCTCCTCTGCCTCCTGGGTTCAAGCGATTCTCCTGCCTCAGCCTCCTGAGTAGCTAGGATTACAGGTTGTGCCACCATGCTCAGCTAATTTTGTATTTGTAGTAGAGACTGGGTTTCACCATGTTGATCAGGCTGGTCTTGAACTCCTGACCTCAGGTGATCTACCTGTCTCGGCCTCCCAAAGTGCTGAGATTACAGTTGTGAGCCACCATGACCGCCTCCTAACTCACTCTTAAAGATGCATATTAGAGTCCCTGACTCCAAGCGGCTTTCTCTGCTTCACTAGGCTGAGGGAAGTGTGTCTTCATTGTGTGTGTTCCCATAAGGCTTAGCATTTCTCCACTGTAGCATTTACCACATTGTAGTGTCACTTTTCTTGGCCTTACATCTGTGAACTTAGGAGGTGTTTTTTTTTTTCTTTTCTTTTTTTGACTACCTCTAGCATCTGGCATAGAACCTACCTCATAGTAGGCCCTGAAAAAAATGTACCTGAATAAATAAATGAGCACATTCTGTATGTGAGGGTCCAAGGGAAAATACATTTTAAATTTGTACTTAAGATAGAAAGAAGGAAAATTGATTTATTTGAGTTATATCTATTTAGTAAATATGCAGAAAATAGGGCCATGTTTTGAACATGTTCCTTAATTTAGAGAATGAAGACATTGTCTCCGAGGAGTTTCCTTCTGAAGTGGAAATGAACAGTGTGCTGAACGTGAACAGTGCTGTTGAGTGTGCTGGCTGGGAGGCGGGTGATCCTGCAGGTGGCCCTTGGAGAGGAGTACTTTTGCTCTGTTCTTGAAGGGCATTGCTTTGATTTTAGAATATCCGGGTTATTATGGGAATTGTGGCTACAAACCAAAAACATTGATATGAAAAGGTAAGGACAATTTGATTTCTGAATTCAATATGCTGGGAACATACACCTCAAAGAGAATAAGAAAATTTTAAAAAATCTCATCCAGGAAAGGATTTGATATGGTCATCAAGCAGCAGGCACTTTTATAAAATGGAATGCTTGTGTCTACAGCATCTTGATATGTGGTCTTCACTCTCATGCAAAGAGCTCATTGGCTCAGTCAGCACCAACAAAACCACCGGTGCTAGAGCAATTCTTAACTTTTACCTTCCCCTTGCCCTGAGCCTCAGTCAGGTGGCTCATTTGACATTGACCTTGTATTTGGTGAAGGAACCATTCATTGCTTAGCGAATTATCTTCGATGATTTTAGAGAACATCTACTGTTTTTGCCAGCTCAGCAAAACCATTCACTCTTCTCCTGATAATAGCATCTTGCTTTTTCTTGAGATATCACATACTCCATATGGTTGGATGGGGCTGACTGTAACCCTTGGTTCAAAGATGGACCTATAAACCAGCCATGAATAGTCAAAATATTGTCTCCCTGTTGATAGTAATTAGCCCAGGAATGGATATGTGAACCAAGCCCAGTCAGTCATAGCAAATCCAGCACTTCAGTTTCAAGAGTTGGAAAAGAGATGTGCCCTTTCCACAGGTTAGCTGAGACGGTAAGCTGTAAGCCTGGAGCTTGCCATTTTGCCATTTTGCCCTCAGGATGAGAGAGACTGCCTGAAATCTGAGCCAGTGGAGAGAAAAGCAGACCTGAGAGTCATGGGGCAATGGTGAGTCCTGGTGACATTCTCTGAGCCTCTGGATCTAGTGACACCCAAAGCTAGGCTCGTCTCTGGGTGTGACACTATAAACCTCCTTTTGCTTAAGAAAGCTTGAATTTGGTTTTCGTCATAGGCAACAGAAACATTTTTTCTAATACGACAATCATAGGAAAAATAGACATTAATAAATCCAAAGGGCGCCATTTCTATCAACTCAGGGCTTCTGATCGCCTGTTTTCCTGCAGTAAATTTTCCTGGATTGTGGTCCACTTTAATGGTCCTCATTTCTACAGAAAATCAAGATCAAGTGAGCTTTTGCCTAATAGTTTCTTTGATCAATTGGTTCTAGCAGATCCAGTTAAACCTCTCACAAAACCCTCTCCCCATAGATTCTGGCCTTTGTCTGTTCTTCTCTCCATCCTGCTGGCAAATAGGCCATTTTAGTTGGAGGACTTCTGTCTGACAACTGATAATTTTTTGCTGCAGTTTTAAATATTGTACCTCCTGGTTTTCTCTCAGTTGTTTTATTTTCTGTCCTAAATTTCCAGGGTGAGTTTAATATGAAAAATAGCTTAAAGTGATTTAATCTTTCTCTGCTTCAGTTTGACATCCACAAATAAGACTTGACTAGGTGATAATAATCATCATGCTCTATAGTTTTACCTAAAGCATTTTAATGTTTACAATCTCATGGAATCTTCCCAATAATCTTCTGGGGAAGAAATTTTCTCTGAGATCTTGTCAATCCCTAATTCTGTTTCTGTATTTAGAAACAGGAGAAACATTGTGTTTTAATATTTTCTAAAGAACATGAACATGTATATGGTAATCTGCAGAATTATGATGATTAGGATGAGTAAGTAGATCAGGATAAAAATTTTGAGACCTTCAAATAATCATCTTAACCACGGGGTAAGAACAACTCAATGGACATTAGAAATAGAGCCTGCGGAGCATTTGCAGTCTAAATAGAGTCATCACAATGATGCCCTGATTCTATAAGCATTGCTGGTCTCTTTTCTTTTCAAGTTAAATCTTCAAGTACTTTGCATTAATCAATGGTGGGAGTGAGGAGAAGGATAAAGCATATTTAATTATCTAAAATCAAACTCACGGAAAAACAGCTCTTATTAATTCTGAAAATTGAGAAGATTGCTGGATATCCATGAAGCTCTGCCCTGGCAGAAGGTATCATGAAGGCTGAGACATGCATACAACAAGAGATTCCTATCCATGGAAACTGGGAATACACTGAGGGCTGGGATGAGCTCTCTGGCCTGGAAGGAGCCCTGGGTGGGTGGGTCTGGTCTTAGAAGGCTAGCTAGAAGCAGAAGCAAATCTAGCCTGGAGTAGGCAACCTTCTCTAAGATGTGCTTTGTGGGCAACAAGGCAAATCTCCTGGCTCCTAAATCTTTCTCATTACTTTCCAGAACTACTGAAATTCCACTTTCAGTCTTCCTTTTCTTTGGGTCTTGAAAGGTTTTCAGCCTCAGGGGCCCCTTTGGAAGAGAAGTGCCACAAACCATCACTGATGGGGATTAGGAGACATTCAGCAAAGGGAACAGGGTTGAAGTGAGATCTCCTGCAAGTGGAAGGAGGAGGGCAGGCCACTTCGGGGAGGAGGGAAAGAAGGGTCACAGGCAGCAACCACGGGACACGAACCCACTGCATAAATCCGCTTAGAGCATGCCTCAGGGAACTATGAGCCACAGTCTTGCCAAGAGTTATAAGAAAAATTCCACAGAAGTTTCCCCTTTTGCTACAGTTTTTTGTTTGTTTTGTTTTTGAGTGGAGAGTTTCTTACTTTCTGAATTAGTCTGTGCTTTTCTCTTTAACTTACGTGGAAACTGTGGCATCTGCCTTCAGCAAATAAAATTCTCCCACATTCACACACTTCTGCAATATCAAATACATGCTCAGACTTAATGAAATATAGAACTGTGCCTGATTTACTTCAGGCCTCAACTTTAAAGCTCATTATACATAGGGGTGATTGCTGTGTTAAAACCACTGAACAGAGACTGACGTACATACTAAGCCCAGGTAGAAAAAAATGCCAAAAAAAGGTAAAAAGATTAGAACAGTGATCTATCTGCTCACTTCCTAAATATTGGAGATATTTATTTTAATTTTCATTAATTAATTATTTTTCTTGAGACAGGGTTTCACTTTGTCACCCAGGCTAGAATGCAATGGCACAATCACAGCTCACTAAAGCCTTGAACCCCTGGGCTCGAGCAATCCTCCGACTGCAGCCTCTCCAAGTAGCTAGGACTACAGGTGCCATCACAGTTGGCTACTTTAAATTATTTTATTTCTTTTCTTTTCTTTTCTTTTTTTTTTTTTTTTTTTTTTGTAGAGATAAGGTCTCACTATATTGCTCAGGCTGGAAAATATTGGAGTTTAAAAAAAATGTACTTACCCCATCTGGACTGTTGACCCCAGAAATGAGGGTATGCAGTAGTCAGCAGCTGCCAGTGTGTATGGTGGACGAGCAGCAGAATCATCCCAATAAATGTCCTTCTTCATCTTGGGTAAGCTCATGTGCATTTCGTCCACAGCTAAAAGAGAGACCTAAAATCATTGTTATATTGTTAGAATAACTCAGATGTAAATTAAATAAAAAAGAGAAGTTTTTGTGGGCAGATGAGAGTTAGAGTGGGCTAGGACACAGTCTAAGTGAGTGAATATACCAATGTCTATAGTTCGTATTTGCCATGACCACAGCTGCCACAGAGAGTTGTATCTGTCGTTTACTGCTCAAGAGTACTTTGCAATGAGGATAAGTGGGGCTTCAAGCCTCCCACACTCCGGGATCAAACCACACACCCCAGAGAGGAGCTGCCTCTTAGCTGGAGGGAGGGGAGCCGTCTTTTTATTCTGTGCTCACAATTATGCTGTTGTTTTACCTGACAGCACCCACTTAACCCCAAATATTACAGGAAGGTGAAGATTCCAGTTTTCATTCTGTTAACCCCGTAAACATATTTTTACTTGGCATCACTTCTTATATGCCCTGGTTTCTTGTTCATTTCTTTGTTTGGAAAAACATATCAAGAAGTCTATACTGCTTGGTGCTATGGTGCTCTCTCCTCTTGGCTTTGACAAAGGGATACATGAATACATTATTAATCCTCTGGGATTCCGATTTTGACAAAGTGAGTGACCTCGGCATTATGTGTCCTCCCTAAGAGACTGACATTGGGATCTGCTGTGAGATGTTTGGACTTACTTAACTGCCAACTAAGGGCTTGAAACAAATGAACAAGATGAAGGCCTTCACTCATCTGTAGTTCACAGGGAAGAGAATGGTCTAGGGAGAGTCTTGCCTAAAAGGAAAATTCCTTCATGCTGGTTCTTCATGAAAAGCTCTCTGGAATAGTGCTTCAGGGTAAGGGCCCTGGGGCCCATTTAGTGCATTTCATGCAGATTTGAGACACAGGCTGGCATGGCCCAGGCTCCCAGTGTCCAACCGGTGGCTCTCTGACTGCTGGGATTGATGTGATACGACTTTGGGAACTCCCACCAGATTGTGTCTGGATGCCATTTTAAGTCACTATTAACCTCTCTGGTTGGCAATAGAAAACAAACCAAAGAACAATTTAAAATACTGCTCTATGCTGAGATGAAAGAGGCTAGAAAAAGCTAATAGAGAGGCTTACAAAGAAAATTGGCTTGAAATTCTACTTAAAAGGAACTACATTTCACTGGAGCTGAAATCCCGGATGTATAAGCTTCCAAAAGGACCTGAGACAGCATAGCGCACAGCCAAGCCTCTTTCATTTGTGGCTAAAGCTCTGAAGCCAAGAGGCGTGCATTTAAAATCTGCTTAGATTTGAAATATCACAAGTGACTTATTATTAATATTTGAAAGAGAAAGAAAATTCCTCTAACCTGCAAATTTCTGTCAATGCACCAGTTAGTTTCGAAATCATCATCATCTTCTCCAAAAGGGTTGATAAGCTGCTCTGCTACCTGTAGTTGAACATAAAATAAATCCATCATGATACCCGTGAAAACTAAGAATAGAATCTGGAGATGATTCCTATTTTCCTCTCTGCTTCCTTTTGTGACTTTCATAATATGAAGAGTAGAGGGGAGTAGATTGTTCTACCCAGATATTTATCAGCAAGCAAGACATGATTGTCAAACCATGAATGATGCGCCTTTGTAGGTATGCTCTCCAAATGGATCTGTCCATCCAACTGGTGACAATGCAGGCCCTATCGGGGGAAGCCATTTCCGATTTAGGAGCCAAATCAAATGAGTGAACAGTGAAGGAGAACCAACTGTTTGCAAGGCACCCTGAAGGGTCCACAGGCTGTGCTTTCAGGGAATTTACAGGGCCCAGATAATAAGGCAAAATGTACACAGGGAGAAGGTTAAACAGCAAAGAAAGACTTAAATCACAATGAAAGAAAATAATATAAGAGGCTTTCACAATTTATTTTTATTTTTATTTTTTTAGACAGTGTCTCGCCCTGTTGCCCAGGCTGGAGTGCAGTGGCATAATCGCGGCTCACTGCAAACTCTGCCTCCCAGGTTCAAGCAATTCTCCTGCCTCAGTCCTCTGAGTAGCTGGGACTACAGGTGAGCACCATCACATCCAGCTAATTTTTTTTGGATTTTTTCAGTAGAGATGGGGTTTCACCATGTTGGCCAGGCTGGTCTTGAACCCCTGAGCTCAGGTGTTCTGCCCTCCTCGACCTCCCAAAGTGTTGAGATTACAGGCATGAGCCACTTGTGCCTGGCCCAGCTTTCACAGTTATTGAATGTAACTGCTAAGTAAATGAGTCAGAGAGCTAGTAAGTCCTAAAGCTGGAAATTGAGGCTTACTTAGTTTTACACTAAAGGATTTACCCTTATCCAGTAAGTTAGTTTTCCTGCCGGGAAAATGTTAGGTAACTATTGTCGCATATCTTTGAATATTTGATCCATATTAAATATTCTTATCATGTTCCTGAATTGAATAGCCTTCTTGATGAGAGGTTTATGTGTCAAATACAACTTATCTATCATCTTCCTTGTTGAAAATTTTCACTTGGTTTTTATTATCTGGACATATGCGCATGCCTGTGTGTGTGTGAGAGAGAGAGAGAGAGAGGGAGAGAGGGAGAGAGTTGGGGGAGAGGGAGATTTTACATTGAGTCTAGATGGAAAAACATTTTAAATGTGTAAAATAAAGGTACCAGGTGATTAGTTTTTAGAGTCTCAATATTCTAGATTCTGAAACTATTCAGTAGAAAATCTACCTACTTTTAGGATTTAAGTCAACGTATTAATACTTAGAGCAGTTTTTTTCAACCTTGGCTGCACATTAAACTCACCTGAGGAGCTCTTAAAAAAACCCAACTGATGCCTGGGTCCCTTCCGCAGAGATTCCAATTTAACCAGGCTGAGCCCAGGCATCAGTGTTGGGTAAAGCTCCCAGGGGATTTTAATATGTGGCTCTTATTTTAAGTGCCTTTCCTTAGGCAGGTCTGTGTCCTGAATCAGTAAGCCTCACAGTGATATCTATGTTGTTCTTGTCACCAGTTTCGTAGGGCTATCTGCCCTTTCTTGCCTGGAGATTTATTTAGATTAATTAAGGGTTGAGTCCTAAAACCTTTTTTTATTCTATCTAGATTTTCATTTTTATGCAATCAGTCCTGCATATATTATCATAGTCTACATTAAACTGACAAAATGGCATGTATGTTTCTGAATTGACAATCTCAAAATATATCTTTTATTCCACTTAGGGCTGCATTTCCAGCAAGTAACTGAATGATATACTATTCATAAGGTTAAGATGGCTTTTCTGTACTTTGAAAAGATTTATAAATATCCTAATCATTGAGATAGAACAGCTGTTTAGAAATGGAGGCACAACCCATTGGTGTTTAGGTTTGCCTATCTTTCTTTCTGAGATGGAGTTTCGCTCTTGTTGCCCAGGCTGGAGTGCAATGGTGTGATTTCGGCTCGCAACCTCTGCCTCCCATGGTCAAGCGATTTTCCTGCCTCAGCCTCCCAAAGTGCTGGGATTATAGGCATATACCACCACACCCAGCAGGTTTGCCTATCCTTTAATGGAGCTAAGATTGTGCCTTTTAATATTTTTTCTTTTAAGATTTATTTTATTTTATTTTAGACAGGGTTTTGCTCTGTTACCCAGGCTGGAGTGCAGTGGTGTGAACATGGCTCACTGCACCCTCGGCCTCCTAGGCTCAAGCGACCCTTTCACCTCAGCCTTCTCGGTAGCTGGGACTGCAGGTATGCGCCACCATGCCTGCTAATTTTTTGTTTTTTGTTTTTTTTTTGGAGAGATGGGGTTTCGCCATGTTGCCCAGGCTGGTCTTGAACTCCTGAGCAATCCTCCTACCTCCGTCTCTCAAAGTGCTGGGGTTACAGGCATGAGCCACCGCGCTGGACTTTAAAACAGTTTATAAAGGAAAAGGATGTAAATATTTTAGAAAGCATGTCAGAAGGAAGGAACCATTATTTGCTCTTTACAGGTGGTCAAGCACCTTACATGGACACAAAACAAAGAATAAAAAGCTTGGCGCAACTCGGGAAAGGAAGAAAATTACTTTTTGAGAATGATTGAGTATTTGGGCCACTGCGGTGATTTTGTCTTTATAAAGCTAAACTCTATTTTTTCCTCTAATGGAAAATGAAAGTCATTAGTCTCTTCTGCGTTCTTGCTCCTATGCAGGTAGAAATAATTAAGAATCATGGTAATCTGATTAAAAATGCTTTTGCCATTTGTAAGGGACATGCCTTTACTCTTTGGAGTATAATTGGAAATGTCAACATATTATTTTTTTTGGTTAAGATTCAAACCAATGAAATGAAAGACTTCTGCAGGGAAAATTTCACTGCAACCTGAAGGCCTCAACAGGTCACGACAACGTATGGCTCTTTGGAAGGCCAAACATTTGAAAATTCTACTTTATGAATATCATCTTCATACCATCATTGCCTTTCAATGAGTTTAATGAAGCCATTGTCATTGATTTTTTTCTATCACATACTTCCCATTTGGAAGTTTACAGAGGTGATGGAAGAATCGGGTCTCTGATATTTACACACATACATTTGAGGAGGTGGTGATGAAGGGAGGGGAAACAAGGAAAATTCTACACAGATAGTTAGGCAAGCCGTTCTCACCTCCTGAACCTGTTTAATTCCCTGGCAAACCAGATGTTGTCATTATTTCTGGTGTTTCTGGTTCTGGTTCTGAGGAATTCTGAGTCTCGGTTCTGGTTTTGAAAATGGGGTACATTTAGACTGGGCACGGTGGCTCACACCTGTAATCCCAGCTACTTGGGAGGCTGAGGTAGGAGAATTGCTTCAACCCGGGAGGCGGAGGTTATAGTGAGCCTAGATTGCATCACTGCACTCCAGCCTGGGCAACAGAGCAAGACTCTGTCTTAGGGGAAAAAAAAAAAAAAAGAAAATGGGGTACATTTAATGTTGTGGGACAGCTAGCAGAATTTCAGGGAACTGCAATAACTATTTATAGAGTTGAGCAGAACCAAGATTCTACTGCAATATTAATGGCTAAGTCTGATTTATAAGGCTTCTTGTTGACTCTTTTACTCTGCCTAGTTGCTTATTGTGGTACACAATATCAATGCAGGTACACTTATTACTTTAGTTACATTATTGTAATCCTAATGGGAAAACACAGAGACGTAAAAGAGAATCAATAACCATAAAAGAGTGTTATTCTAATCTCTTTGCACAAATGAACTGCTTCAGACAGTACTGAGTATATCCCTGCCACTTGAATCCCTGGCAGAAAAGTAATAATATTGCTGAGCTATTACATGTTAGATCTACCTTTGACTCACTCGTGAATGATTTGCTAAAGACTCAGTAAAGGATCAGTGTGGAGAGTCTGGAACATAACAGATTACCAAGTGGGGCCCTGAGACCATTGGCTACCTTGAGCCATCCTGCATAGAAGAAGAACTGTAGGAGGGTGAAGATTGGAATGTAAAGATCCAAGTCATGCCCTGCGTAGCCTTTGGTGGGATCCAAAAACTGGCGTCCAATCAGGCACGCAAAGAAGAAGGTATAGACAGCAAGAGTAACAACCTGGAACAGAGAGAGACCGGAGTGAGGGGACGGTGCTGGCCTCCCACAGCAAAGCTACAGTGCCAAGGTGGACAAGTAGAAATAAAGAATTCCATGCAAAGTATTTCTTACCTGGGTGTAAACCAGCGGAATCCCAACCCAGTCATAACCGAATAAGAGGCTGCACCAAGAGCGGTATCGATTCATTTCCTAAGCCAGAAACAGATCAAGCATGATTTACCAAGATGACAGGTGTGGTAATAAGCACTTACTGGGATTCAGAATGTGAGCATGTCTTTTACAGGACTGACTATAAGACTAGTAAACTGGTTCCCAAGGATACTCCAAAAGGAGAGTTCTAAAAATGACAATCAATCAATGAACATCATTGGAACAATGAGTTCATTGATGAGTACATTTGGACATTTAAAAAAATATTAAAATAAGTCATGGCCAGGTATGGTGGCTCATGCCTATAATCCCAGCACTTTGGGAGGCCGAGGCAGGAGGATTGCTTGAGCCCAGGAGTTTGAGATAAGCCTGGGCAACACAGAAACACGTTGTTTCTAGAAAAAGTAGATAAATTAGCTAGGCTTGGTGTCACGTGCCTGTTGTCCCAGTTACTCCAGAGGCTGGGGTGGGAGAATCACTTGCGTATAAGAGGTCAAGGCTGCAGTGAGCCATGATTGCGCCACTGTGCTGCATATAGCCTGGACAACAGACTGAGACTATTTCCAAAAAAAAAAGGCCTTCATAGAAATATCCCCCCCCCACATTCTATTGAACCCATAATTTCCAACGTGTATATTGGCCCAAAGCCATGGTGAGAAGGAAATTGCTAATATTTTAAATAAGTAATTTTTATCGATTTTGGTAGGTAATCTGGAAGCAATTTTTTTTTTGTTTCTCTCATTTTAAAACATGCTTACTGTAGATCTTAGAAAAGAGATATAATTACTCCCACAAATGGAGACTATAACACTCATATTGATAGAAAATCTATCTCTGAAGCAGGAAGGACAGGATTCTTTGATTTTCTCATCTATTGTACACAAGTTATTATGTAAGACTAGGCAAAAGAGTTCACATTAATTTGGGTGCTATTTTTAAACAATTCACTCCCGTTAGCCTAATCCAGGGAGGGGATTGTCATGGCACCAATATATCCAGCCCTTACATAAAAATTTTTTCTGGGGGGGTTATTTTGTTTAGTGAAAATACTATTTTACTTACTAGAGTATCTGAAAGGTTGGCTTAAGTCGCGATATTCCAATTTTGGGGAAATATTTGGCTGGGGAGGTTTATTTCTCCTCCAGATTTTTTTCTAGAATCCTGGAGCCAGGGATGGCAAATATACTATAGGGGCACCATAGCTTTCCGAGCCGTTGGCGACCCTTGGCTAATCAATCAAGGAATACTTTCTTACAGAGCCTATTACAAAGCATGATTCTGTTTAAAATGCAGCTTCCAAGGAACCATTTCCAAGCAAGTCGAGTTTAACTGTGTACCACCTCTGTCCTACACGTTGAGGGGTTTGACACTGCTCCAATCTTTCCAGTTCCTCCGGAACCAGGACTGAACAAAGCTGACTCTTCCTGGTCTAATGTGCTATATCCAGATCCCCCTTGGTCTCTAATTAGCACCTTTTCCTTGTGATTTATGATATACTTACAGTCATCAATGATTGCAGATCAACACTGTCTCTGATTCTACCTTCATTCCGGGCTTTAGTTGCAAGGTTTCCAAACCAGATGAATGGAACCCAGTATTTCAGATGAGGAGACTTGAGGTGGTTGAATAATTTCCTTTCATCTGCTGTCATAAAACCTTTACAAAAAAATAAAAATGGGTAGGTATACAGACTGTTTGACACTAACATGTTACCACATTTCAGCATCTATATGTAAGCATATAATGAGGGGATATTAAAGAAATATGAAATAAAGTTTCCTGTCTCAAGTAGTTTATACTTATATTAGAGTTAAGGAATGTGTGTGTGTGAGCACACACAGGCATACATATACATGCACACCCACAAGTTATATAAAATCCCTGATAGAGGAGGCCATCAGGAGGTAAGGAGACATTACATGTGAACTAGAACATTTGGGGAAATTTCTTCTCTAGGTTTTGGTTTAGGCATCTAAAGTTGGGAACCATAATACTTAGAATTGTTATGATTAAAATAATACGATATGAGAATGTATACAAAGCACTTGGCATAGTGCCGAACACGTGATTCACATGACTTTTCTCCTGATCTCTCCTTTCCAAGTCCTGCTTAATCACGTTCTCCTCTCTGAAGCCTTCCTTGAGTCCTTCTTTCTCTTTCCTGGGGGATCTCTTCCCTTTGAAGTTCCCACATGGTACTCACTCTTGGCTTGCATCACAGTAATATTACACATAAATGTTTCCCTTACTATGACCCTTTTGAAGGGCAAAGAGTATATTCATCTTCATTGTCCCCATAGCATTTTGCACATACTTTAAAATTGTTTATTTGTGGCTGGGTGCAGTGGCTCACGCCTGTAATCCCAGCACTTTGGGAGGCCGAGGTGGGTGGATCGCTTGAGGTCAGGAGTTCAACACCAGCCTGGCCAACATGGTGAAACCTTGTCTCTACTAAAAATACAAATATTAGCCGGGCATGGTGATGCACACCTGTAATCTCAGCTACTGGGGAGGCTCAGGCATGAAAATCGCGTGAACCCGGGAAGCGGAGGTTGCAGTGAGCTGAGGTCCTGCCACTGCACTCCAGCAGTGAGTGAGACTGTCTCCCCGCCCCCCAAAAAAGGGTTTCTTTGTGTGTGTGTGTGTGTGTGTGCATGCATGTGTGTATGCGTGCATGTGTGTGTGTGTGTATAAAATGCAATTTGCTTGGGCTTGCAGTGACCTCTCTGAGCCTCAACTTTCTCATCTGTAAAAGAGAGATAATATTTGCTTCACAAGGATGTTGTAGAATTACCTGAGATGATGAACATGTGTCAAGATGTTATTTAACATAATGCTTAGCACACACTTAGCACCCACAAAGCACTAAGGCATATTATGTGAAACTTTAGTTATCCTCTGCCTCCTCCTCCCTCCCCCAAACACCAAGGGAAGAGGAGATTGAATGACTGAATAATAGAAGAGGAATAAGGTAACAGATTTATTTAATAAACATTTATTGAATGCCTACTATATACCAGGGTTTGTTTGCAACAAGATGCACTTTAAAACTTGCAGTTTACACTTGATCTTTTTTTTTGTTTTTTTTTTTTTTGAGACGGAGTCTCGCTCTGTCACCCAGGCTGGGGTGCAGTGGCGATCTTGGCTCACTGCAAGCTCTGCCTCCCGGGTTCACGCCATTCTCCTGCCTCAGCCTCTCGAGTAGCTGGGACTACAGGCGCCCGCCACCACGCCTGGCTAATTTTTTGTATTTTTAGTAGAGACGGGGTTTCATTGTGTTTTAATCTCCTGACCTGGTGATCCACCCACCTCGGCCTCCCAAAGTGCTGGGATTACAGGTGTGAGCTGCCACCTGACCGATCTTTTCTTTTTAGAAATTTAGATTGAATAATTCAAATGGCACAAAAATCCCAAAGGGCCAAAGGACTGCTAGTGGGGAAAGTCTCCTTTTCCCAGTCACAAAGTTTCCCTCCCTGGAGGAAATCACGATGATCCATTTATTGTGTATCTTTCCAGAGAAATCTCATGGATTTTCATACAGGCCTATTTTTAAAAACACAAAAGATTTTATACTTCATATGTGTCTGCCATTTGCTTCTATTTTTCAGGTATATCTTGAAGATTTAAAAAATTAATATATAGAGAGCAGCAGCATTCCTTTTAATGGCTGCTCTCTATATGTTAACACTGTTAATCGTATATAATATTTAGCTAGTTCCTTTTTGAATAGACATTTAAGACATTTAAGTTGTTTTTGATTTTTTTGTTACTAAATATAATGCTGTAATGACTCTCCTGTTATCTACCCCCTTGGATCTTTAAGTAGCTTTTAAATGTTAATTATGATTTAATATAAATATTGTTTTCTGAATTAAAACTTATTTATAAAACTGGTTTTTATTAGATATTAATTTTTGGGTTTTTTCCCTCAGAAATGCAATCATTTGCTTATGGAATTCTGATACTACATTCAGACGAAAATCAACTTTTGCCCTAATATAACACATTTTTCTATCTTTAACCATCTGTAATCAGTTAACAAATCTGGTTGTCCTATTTAAGGTAACCTGTCCTTTTGCCAGGTGCAGTGGCTCATGCCTATAATCCCAGCACTTTGGGAGGCCCAGCAGGAGGATTACTTAGGCCAGGAGTTTGTGATCAGCCTGGGCAACATAGCAAGACTTTATCTCAAATAAATAAATAAATAAATAAATAAATAAATAAATAAATAAATAATCCTCCCTCCTTATGATGCAGGCCAAATTTTATTTAAGAGATAGTGTTACAGTAAAAAAAAAAAAAAAAAAAAGTCAAAGGAGGAATGAGGTATGCCCATTTTGAGAGTCATCAATTTATAGAGCTTTGGCGTTATCTAGATCTTTGACGTGACCTAAGCCATTGTTTTTAAGAATAAGATCCAAAGGCCATAGACCTGAATCACTTGTGATATCTATTAAATATGGAGAGGGCTGGACCCTGACCCTGACTACTAAATCAGGCTCAGTAGGGCAGGAGTTCTCAACCCAGGTCTGCACCTTAGAATCTCATAGGGGTACTTTTAGAAAATATCAATGGCAGCCGGGCATGGTGGCTCACGCCTATATTCCCAGCACTTTGGGAGGCTGAGGCGGGTGGATCACCTGAGGTCAGGAGTTCGAGACCAGCCTGACCAACATGGTGAAACCCACTCTCTACTAAAAATACAAAAATAAGCCAGGCATAGTGGCAGGGACCTGTAATCCTAGCTGCTTGGGAGGCTGAGGCAGGAGAATTGCTTGAATCCTGGAGGTGGAGGTTGCAGTGAGCCAAGATTGTGCCATTGCACTGCAGCCTGGCGACAGAGTTTTTATGAGACGGAGTCTCAAAAAAAAACAAAAACAAAACAAAACAAAACAAAAAACCAATGGCTAGGTCTTATATTGTTAGAGATTCTGATTCAATTAATCTAGGATGAGGCCAGGCATCAGCATTCTTTTAAATCTTCCTGGGTGATTTAATAGAATTGGGTCTAGGCAGTTGCATGTTTTCCAAGCTGTGCAGAAAATTCTGACATATAGTGGTGTTTGAAAATCACTGTCCCACTAACTGAAGGTTCTGTTTATTCAGGATTTGAAATAAACAAAGTAACAACTACAAAGCCAATATTTGCCAATAGGAGACTAGTTTTAGATAACACTCGGGTTGTTTATACTAGCTTAGAAGGGTTCTCTGCATGCCTGGAGAATGGTACTCTCCCTGGAAGTATAAAATAAAAATGAGCTTGGTAATTCTCTTCTTGTTTCTCAGTGCATCTCAGAGTTGTTGCACGATCTAAAAAATCTGTTTTTGCTTTTTAAAGAATTGAAGAGCATGATTAAATCTTTTTTTTTTTTTTCAATTTTTTTCAATTTTTTATGGGACAGAGTCTCACTCTGTGATCCAGACTGGAGTGCAGTGGTGTGATCTTTGGCTCACTGCAGCCTCAGCCTCCTGAGCTCAAGCAGTTCTTCCACCTCTGCCTCCTGAGTAGCTGGGTCTACAGGCACACGCCACTATGCCTGGCTAAGTTTGTATTTTTGTAGAGACTGGGTTTCACCATGTTGCCCAGGCAGGTCTTGAACTTCCTGGGCTCAAGTGATCTGCCTGCCTTGGCCTCCCAAAGTGCTGGGATTACAGCCATGTGCCACTATGCCTGGCCAGTTAAATCTCATTGGATGAAGTTAATAAACTTGATCTGTCTTGGCTTTATGCTTAAAGACTTGCTGTGTAGCCTGTTCTCACATATCCCATATCAATTGTCTAACAGTGATATTCTTGAGACCTAGAGTGCAATTTTCAAAAATGATCCCGTTTATATACTGGCTTCATTCTATCATTTGACCAAAGAATAACTTTATCTCTGGTTATTTTTTATTCAGAAGTATGGATCAAATTGTGCTAGCAAGTCCTTTCTTAGCTTCTATGCAGAAGGCAAATATGCAGAGTGAGGGTTTATTTGGTGCAAACACTAAAGCAAGAGATTGAAAGAGGACAAGTAGAGCAAGAAGAGCTGGTGATTTTGTTTTTAGCACAACTTTTTTGAGTATTTTGCTAGGTGCTGTGAAAGATGAATGACAATCACTGAGACATTAATGTATCCTCTAAGACTATATAAGCAGAATAATTTTCGTTATTCCTTGCAGGGTCACATATCATATTTATCCAAAGTGTGAAAGGAAAATATCTTGGGTCCCCAGAATCACTAAGCTAAAGGGAAAAGTCAAGTTGGGAACTGCTTACGACCTGCCTCCCATTCTATTAAAGTCATTGCTCTGCTCACTGAGATAAATGCATATCTGATTGCCTCCTTTTGAGAGGCTAATCAGAAACCCAGAAGAATGCAACCATTTGTCTTTTATCTACCTATGACCTGGAAGCCCCCTCCCCACTTTGAGTTGTCCCCTGCTTTTCCAGACTGAACCAATGTTTATCTCACATATGTTGATCGATGTCTTATGTCTTCCTACGATGTATGAAACCAAACTGTTCTGACTACTTTGGGCACATGTCATCAGGACCACCTGAGGCTGTGTCATGGGTACACATCCTCAACCTTGGCAAAATAAACTTTCTAAACTCACCGAGACCTGTCTCAGATTTTGGGGTTCACAAAAGTAACACCTTTGGAAATCAAAGTT